AGTACAGTTCGCACTTATCGTATGGGTGGAATCGGCCTACCGTTCTGTGTCAACCACTGGCGCTCCACGCTATCCGCTCTTCACTGTCTAAAAAAGAGGGGGACACTATATTAGTTTTGGCTCCGCCCATGTGATCAGCGTGAAATGTGCCTTTCGGAAGTCACCGGCAGTGTCGACGAGCGGAATTCCGTCCAAATTTTATATGTGGAAAGAACTTATACTAACTTTAGTTCCAATTCATCGCGCCAAAACACTAATCACTCTCCCTCCTGGTACCATTGAGACCCCTTGGCCGGGGATCCCCTGAATACGCCGTGCCATGTTCATCACGTTTTTATTGCGGATGCTGGGATCTGGAAAAAAAGCGAACCTTGTCCATATATGCTCGAGCTTTGACTTTCTGCTGCATAACTTCGAACATTTCCATGAAAGGCGACATGAACGGTCCAATGATCTTCCCTGCATCGATTCCAGGATCACCCTAGAACTAGCAACTTTAAAATTTAAAACTTTGAAACCAGTTGACTAGTACAGAAATTTTTTATGCTCTCCTTCAACAATTGCTGAGCTTCTGTGGTCAGTTTTAGTGATTTTTATCCTCTGCGACATTAGAGCATTCTCCACACAAACAAACTATTACAATTTCGGGTATCTCAAAAAAATTCGTTGGAACTGCCCAGAGGGTGATTCGATGCTCTGATCACGATTAGGACATTTATTTTTGGCGTTGGCGCTATTTAGCGCCACACCTTTTCCCCAAAATCAGTGCAATCCTGCCCACTAAGACAATTTGGTGCTCTGAATATGACATTGCTTGGCACCGGCGCTAATGCTTAGCCTGGAGGGAAGGGAATCATTTTCTCCCAGGCTCAACCATAGCAGAGTGCTTAATTGTGCGATGTTGACAATGAATGCCATAGTCGTTATTAGCACATCAAGTAAGCTGTATTATGGCAGTTTTTTTTCACCGATTCTGGTGCAAAAAGGTGGTGGTGCGTGATGGCGCCAAATGGCGCCACCTCCAAAAAAACGTTCGTGCAGGGCACCGAGTTACTCCTATGAGCAACGTTTCAGTAAAAAAGTTTGAGTTATTGGGGTAGTGATAAATCAATATGCTAAGCGCAGGGGTGGAATCAAAAGAGGTTCAGTCCGAAAACGCCTGATGTTTGCTTTAGAGGCGGTCGTGCACGAAAGGGTTGGGGTGTTCGTACTAACTTAGGAAGGATTCAAGTTCCCGCGGAGACTTATTTGTAGAGATTTTAGTGTTTCTAAGGGTTTTGCCTTCTCTTCTCGTGTTAGGCTTATTCTAATGGAAGGATGTAATATCGTATTCGTGCAGTCAAACTACTTTTAAGGGTCTTAACTTCTAGCCAAATCAACTTCTGTAGTCAATTTCCATTAAGTTTCGGCTACACCACTCTTTGTGATAATCCCCAGGAGGGGGCGGGGGGGGGAATCAGAAAAATTATCTGATCGTTGGTTTTTTCCGTCCCGTCTCTTCCAGTTAGTCGAAGGCGCCGCAAAATTACCGTGTGCCTACAGTTTGTGGTTTGATGACCCTAAAAGTTGGTTGTCAGCGACCTTCCTCTCTCCCGCTCCCCTCTCTCGCCCTCAGGTTTTTAAGGAGAAGAGGAATAATTTTGGAGAAACTGGAGAAATGGAGGAAGTTAGGAAAGGTAGGGAAGGTGGTGAGAAAGGGGGTCGTATCGTAGGAAAAATTAAGGGGGACATGGGAAAATTTTCTGCGCAACGTGACTTTTCACTGAAATAATTTTTTTCGCTTGAATTCAAATTATTCATGAAACTCACATTGCCGTTCCCTTGATATTCAGCAAACTGAATTCGATTAAATAGAGGTATTTCGTTCTGTGGGTGATGATAAAAGGGAGTGTTTTGAATTTCTTGTGAATTTATAAACTTCACATGAAGTAGAATAAGGAATATGAGTAGAAAGTAGGGAAGCATCCCAGCCTAAGACTAGGCTGGTATCTTGTGAATTGAAGCCGATGGATTGAGGTCAGCACTCATGAGCGCGCACTTTCGCTTTTGCTGCGCGCGCTAGCCACTGCGGAAAATCTCGGCGAGATGTAGCATTTCTGTTGTTTGCTTATCTTTATCCTTTCACCTCCGCGGCTAGTGAATCCTGTTTGGGCTATCATCAGTTTCTTGGGTGGGGAAGTAGGTGATTGGAGGTCATGGGCGGTTTTCCCAGGGCACATTAATAGCTGTGGATTTTGGTTGAGTCCGTACAAACCCCCTTTTTTAGGGGTTGGTACGACCCCCCTCCTTGGTTCCCTCCTCATCGGGGTGTGGGGGGGTGAAATGAAACAGGAAAAACCATGAAAAGTCGACAACCTCTCTCAGAAGCTCATCAAATGCTCCCTAGGGGAAATACGTCCCCTTCCCAACAGCGAGCGAATACGACCCCCCTCTCCTTTACAACGTCTCTGATACAAGAAAAATCAACTATCAAAAAATTTTCTCAGCCCAAATACGACCCCTCTCCCAGCGACCAAATACGATCCTCCTGTCGGGGTTTTATAGTAGGAGATGAAGTACGGTCATTTGAAACTTCACTACATGGCTGCTTTGCAAGTGCCCCAAAGGGACATTTTGGATATCTTTTTTGGGGTAAGAAGCTGTTTCGAGTGCTTCTCATTGATTAGTTTGCTTACATTACTTCAAATTACAGAAGAGGACGTTCTGTTGAATGGAACTAGTCTGAATGGGAACGACTAAGTGGTTTCTTTGAAGAAAAACGTCAATTACCTAGAGTCGGGTGGTAGAGTAGATGGCTCATCTCTCGCGAGTTTATTGACTTGGTTCAGACTAGCCCACATAAAAAGCGCGTAGTAGCCCACATCAAAAATGCGTTTACCCTACATTCTGGTGGAGGGTGATTCAGGGATCAAGTCGCAGGTCTCGCTGAGACAGATCAAACGTCCTCAGTGTCAGCATCGACTGGTTTAATAGATACTTCATGGGGTTATTGACGGTAGACCACGGGCGTCGCGCGCGCAACAATCAACAAAATATGCCGTGTGATTTACAGGCGATCGCGCTCCATCTCGATCTTTTTGTTATCGCGACAGTAGAATTCGCTGCTATTTGTACCTGTCGTATCCTACAATAAGCAGAGTCTATGAGAGTATGCTGTGAGAGTATGCTCAGAAACTCATTGTGACAGTCAAATAATTAGGGAATAGCAGGTGAGCTCATTAGCGTGACTCGCGAGCAGAATCTGTGCAGGTTTCTCTGCACCATAATTGCTATGTAATCACTCTAGTTAAGCAAATACAACAAAATCTTACGGTCATGACAGTCCAGGTCCTACCAGAATGTAAAGAGTGGCTGGAAACTGAAGCGTACACGAAAAATTCAGTAACGCAGTGACTTTATTGCAAGCGTGCGCTGCACTGCAAGTTGGCGATGTTTGCAGATTGCTGCGCACCGAATTCGTGTGGTCCTAAAGACCGTTTCCCGGCAAGAGGTCGTTGTGAGGAGAAGCTTTGATTCTCTGGTTGAATAAGAATCGGAATTGATTAGAAAAAAGGAAAGCAATACCGAAAGCTTTGTCGTCGTTTCCTTTTCGAGATTAACAGTGCGATCAACAATGGTCGTGTATTTCAGCGAATATTCCTCCACTGAATATGAGGTCCATTTATGGATATGTGGGTATTAGTTGACGTATCAATAAAATAATAGAAGAGGTCGTCGAAAACGCTCAAAATGATGCCTTGTTCATTTCTAGCAGAGCATGATGTGAATACAGACGCAGAGACACTTTGAGCGCAGTTACGTGGACAGATTTGTGCCAACTGATCCATACAACCGCACATATAAGGGGAGAACATCAGTCGTAACTTAGCAGTTGCGCATTAGTGGGCATCGGCACTCGGATTGAGCAAGGTTTCCTGTCTCGCAAACCCCTGGCGCCCTTGTCAATACACTTTTTAATGGTATAGTGACACAGTTGACCTGCACACCTTTCGCACGAGGCGGATCCCATTTCTTAGGTCATGGCATAAATGTGACGGGATAGTCTTTCATGTATAATAATTCATAAACTTCATTAAATACAAAATATGTATAGGCGAATCGGAGCATGTGCTGGTCTTTGGAAGACGTTTCTGAGAGGCGATCCTCCTTTCCTCCTTCAGTACGATACCCTCTTCGTCCTGTCTGCGCAGTTGCCAATTTTACCAACTTGGAGGGAGGTGGGGGTGGTGAACACTGAAACTTTCACCGATCAGAAGTAATAGTTTCGCGGCACCGTTCTATCACTGGAGGTTACCTTTACTACTTCCTCTCTGGTACTTCTGTTGTTTAAGGAAAATTAGCATTTATCAGTCTGAATATTCGTTAGCTTCCATACTGAAGAATTGAAGGGGTTCTCCATAGCCGTATATTTACTACAACTTTCAGAACACTGAAGACAAGCAGAAAATCGCCAGTTTGGAAGCTGAAGTGTCTCGCTTGAAGTCTGTGGCATCATCGTCCTCTTTGGCTGAAACAAGGTTGGAGTCATATCAGGATTCAGTGGTTAAAGGCTATTTTCCACCAAATATTACCTAAGAAGCTTATGTTCTAGTGCCTCCACGGATGTTACAGCAATGAAGGATCGTCTGGCTGCCCTGGAGCAGGAAAATGCGGTGAGTTTCGCTTTTCTATGCCTCAATTTTTTTTTCAGAGGACATATGGAGAATTGTTATTTAAGCCTGGAGGCAGTGGGCGTGATGGCTTTTAGCAGGCTGTTGCTATTAACGTCATTGGTGGAAGGGCTGTATAGGGTGTGGTCAAATACCCTCTCGGCTGGGGAGGGGCAGTTGCTGCCAACGTTCCTTCCTGCAACGTTGCTGGAAGGAACTGGCAGCAACTGCCCCTCCCCCAGCCATGATGCCCACTGTCTTCAACTGATGGTTTCGTTTTTGGATTGAATTTAACGATTTTAGAAGCTAACCGATGACTTGACGGCCAAGATAGGAGAATTTGAAGAAGTGAAGTTCCGTCTCAGTGCGATGGCTCCATCTTTCGAGAAGGCGCAAGCTCGCGTAGCTCAACTGAATGCTGAGAAAAACGATTTGTTAGCTCGAATTGCGGTGAGGGTGATTTACTATTGCCATCTTCGCTCAGCGTAAATCCCCTACTGGTTTCAGTCTCTGGAAGGTCAGATCGCTGCAGTGCTATCTGGAAACCAACCACGTCCGTCTGTGTCCTTGTCTGCATCTTCAGTTATGTCAACTGGCTCATTACCTGACAGGTGAGTTAGTCATTCTTTGAGGGAAGAATTGTGTTCTAGCAATTTTATGGGACCGTTGGGAGATCCACGTTACGGCGACGCTCGCAAATTAGATAGTTGACTCGACATCGTATAGCATCTCCTCGTGAAATCAGTTAGGCCGGGGCGTTGGGAATGTCGCAAATGCGCCGCTATTTGTTGAACTGATCTCATGGTCAGGGCAAAGGGCCAACCATCGCAAATACGTGTGTTTGCGATGGTTGGCCCTTTGCCCTGACCATGGAATCAGTTCTGAATTAGAGCTGAATAGGTGACACATTCAAAGAGATGGATCTCTGCTGACATCATCATCCTGTTTATGAAAAAGAAGTCGCGGAACACCATTTGAGGCTATAAGCCTATCTCATTTGATTAACCGCGTAGTTCCATCCTTTAACACACAATGAGCGATTGCCTGCATCAGTTTATTGGCGTAGGAATTTCTCAGTTACGTATTCCGTGATAATCGAGTGGGCGGAGTCTGACAATGACTGTGGTCTCTTCCTTGGCCCCAATCGTCTTCATCAGAGGAAGGATTTGCCCCAATGGGAAAGGCTTAGTGGCTGCGACTCTTCGCCCACCCGATGACCGCGAACTGTTTCTGTAACACTCATTGATTAAATGCTAAGGAACTTCTTCAAAGAAGTATTCCTCCACAGTCATGCTTGCGAAGCCCAATAACACCTTCTTCGTTGGCGTATATCACCTTTATCGTGTCATAATGGGAGTTTGCGCCAATGCGAAAAGCGGAGTGGTTGTGAGTCTCCGCCTGCATGGTTATCGCGAACTGTCACTTTCCTACTACATTAAATTGAGGGCATAGACGATAACAGAATGGAAGAATTAGTTGTAGGCAAGTTTATTCCACTATGACACCTAAACGACAACGTTTTCGTCGTTGATCAATCCCTTCTGGAAAGCGCCACGCATTCTACTTCCATTCGTAATTGTAGTTGAATATGATATGGCCTATACGATGAGTTACATCGGCCAGTTCAAGTGCAGCACATTATACTGGTATCCATTTCAGTAATGCCTCCGGTGGAAGTGGCGCTGTCTCAGCATCAACTCCAAAGCGATTGTCGTTTGACTCACCAGTACGGTTCCAAAATCCACCTACAGTAACCACATCGGCTGACACAATTTCAGGAGTACGTTTTTCTTTGCATAGCATTACAGACCAATTTTAGCGTTTTGTTAATTCCAGTCATCTACTCACACGGGCGTTGCTCAGTCCGCATCCACAAGCTCGGCGCCTCCTGTATCTCTAGCATCCCAAGTTCCGAAGTTGTTCAAGTCAAGTGTCGAACCAGCATTCTCTTCGACTCAGGCCTCATCGACACCTATCGTTGAAGACTCCTCGTCGGAGAACCGTAGTGATAGTGCATCCCAGGAATCTACTCCTGCTATTCAAGTAGGTTATGATTATGATGCTGTAATGTTTTCCTTGTGTGTAGCTTCATCGAGCTTTTGTGGTCAATACTTTCCGTTCCGTGAATGCAAACTCAATGACGGGCGTATGGGTTAGACCACCAAGAAGGCTTCGAAGGGAAGGCAAAGGAGTACCCAGAGGGCGGAGACCTAACTGCTATGCAGCAACGGTAAAACGATATGATAAGGGTGGAGACAGTAAACAAAGGGGCGGGGACAATAAAACGTAGCAGAGCAGTGGCCCTGTTATCAAGCAAAGTCGGGCTGCAACATTCCTTGCAGTCGCGGACCGCGCCACCACTCAGCATGTTGGTTAATCGCGGACTCTATCTTGGGATTCAGGTAGTCCCTTCGTCTCCTGTCACGTATTCGCTTGCAACGTCGTCTGCTGCTCGTATTAGTCCTGGACAGTCTCTGTTTGGCAAATCTGCTCCGGCCGCGGTGCCAAGTGTGAGTAACCTTTTGAGCGCTTGGAATGAGTAACTTCAGTGACAAGTCAGCTTTCGTAAGTTCTGAGGTTTTCTGAAAGATTTTCGTTCAAGGTGAGCACTTCAACCGCGAATAGTTCCTCAGAAGGAAATAACGTATGTGGTTCAGTTGTAACAGAAGCAGAACAGAGCAGTCAGGTAGTCCTAATTCTTTGAAGGCAGTGGGCACGATTGCTTGGGGGCGGTTGTCGTCAACGTCATTGGTGGAAAGGCTGACTGGAGTGTGTTCAAGCGCCCTCTTGCACCCCTCCACCAATGGTGCGGGCAGCAACCGTCCTGCCCTGCCAACGTGCCCACCGCCTTCAGTTTGTTGCCGTGAAGTTCATAGGTTGGGTTAAGGTTAGCGGTAGCGGTGAAGTTCGTAGAGATGTCAATGACGATGATGGCGCTGGTCATAACGGTACTGTATTTCATTTAATGAGTTTTGTATTCCATTATAAGATCCCATACTTCTAGATTCTGCTGGCGAATCGCGTGACAGCGGCAGCGGCATGCCGGTGTCTTCGTCAGATGGAAGGCGCAAACGTTCTGCAACTAATGAATCGTCAAGCTGTGAATCGAAACGCCATCGTGACAGTCCAAGCGAGGTCGTCACCAGCAGCGAAGAGCGGCGGGATCTTGGTAAGGAACTGTCAACTACTCGTATGATTGCAGATTCGGCCGCCGCTGATTGATTTCATAAAAGTGACGTCGTCTAATTGAGTAGGGGTAAATATGGGGTATAAGGGTTTAAATCATGCTCTAAAGAAAAAGTTTTTTTTTGCCGTGTCCGCAGTGTCGTCATTTGACGAGTTAGGTGTTAGAGGTACTTGGTGGTTGTGGCTGGTGGTTTGGGTGGAGTCAGTCGCACCGTCACGCGTTTTTCGTTGGAGCACCCTTCTTGTCGTCTCGAAAAGGCGCAGCAATGAGAAGAGTATAATGGTGAGACTGTCTTCGCCCACATTATCGGTCGGAATGGGGTATGTGACAAGAGAATCGTAATTCACCGCGCTGGTGTGCGACGTCGCGCCCGCAAATGACGATGGTTCCAGGTAGTAGATGGCGACAACAGGCAATTCAGAACCGAAAATAGTCATGAATGTCTACGATGACGGTCTACATGAAGTCCGGTGCTGTCGCAGTTCAGAGAGAGACCGCCCTACTAGTCCTCTCCCACGACGAGCATCAGTGTATCGAAATCCGCTCACCCACCATTAGCCCACCTCAGTCTCACAGTTCCCCGGGGACTATACCGCTTTCCCGCACGATATAGCCACCGTTCCCCGGGGGACCACCCGGGCCTAAGCCCGTGGCAGGCTGCAGGGGACGGCAGCCCATGAACAGGCATGTCCCCGTGGTGGGTCCGACCTCCCCCATGTCCGTCCTGGACCCCCGGGTCGGCCGGCCCCTACCACTGTTACAGCCTGCCGTAACCGGTCCAGTTACATGCCTACCTGGCTCACCTGGCCCTGAGGCATGCAACAGCCGAATAACAGAAACATAACAACCAACAACCTGTACCTACAACCGACCAGCCCCTTGCGGACCCATCTGCCCGGTCGCTCCCAAGTCCCACCTATTACAAACATTACAAGATAAATAAACTTCATATTTATTGACTTACGTGTCTGCGGTAACCATCTTCCTACAATCCTTACATCCTGCCGTGGTTGGATTGACCATCCATCTTCCATCTGTCCAGCGGTAATCCTAGCGGTAATGGCGCTCTGCGGCTACAAGCTGCAACCCGCAGCCGGCCGTGCCTTCGGGTCATAGCAGGCACGGGCCTGAGCCAGAGCTCCGCCAGACGGAGCAGTGTGCCCGACCACACTGCTGTACAGAGTGCAAGCACCCTGCAGAACCGTCCGGCATCATGGCGGCAGAGCGGGTGCCCGGTGGATCTCTCCTCCCGGAGGGAGAGAAGCACACCGACTGGCTCGCAGCAGCCCTTATAAGGGCTCCACTGGGGGCGGGGCGGCGGCGCGGCCTTCGGCGGTCGCGTCGCGGCTTTGCCCGTGTAGCGCGCCAGAGCCCAGGCGCACGGGACCCCGGCCACGTTGTCGCGAACCGCGACACTCCCGAGAGCAAAAGCGAGTGCTCCCGCGGGTGCGTGGAGCACGACGGTCCGGGGTTAATTTGGAACCCCCCAAAAAGAAAAACCGTGCGACTGGCTATGGCCTCCCCCTTAGCGGTAAATGGATGGCATGGTCATTCCTCACAAATTACTACCTAATCGGCAGTCCCTACTAGTCATAAAGCTCATGACAGAAAGATGGTGCCTTAGGGGCCACCGATAAACCACATCACACAAAGACCATACCATACAGCGAGAAACTGGGTACCTTAAGGGTACCTCAAATGAAAACACAGCAACTAGAACTATCTTAAAAACACTTCGACGAAACCTAGGGCGAGAGCCTTAAGGGCAACTCGCAAAAAACATAAATGCTGAGTATCTTAAGGATACCCAGAGAGACATACTGAGCGCCTTAAGGGCTACTCAAAAAAGGAGAAAATTGAAGTTACAGAATTGCGTCGGAATCCTCCACTTTCCATTCGTCGTTGACCATCGGACTGATTGACCATCGAAACCATCGAACTCGAAACAGCAACTTGATGTGACGTAGCAAGATGTTGATTGACTTGACGATGTTGTAGAATAGAATCGTAGTCGTCGTCGTCGTTGCCACGTGCCCATCTTAGTTGACTGTCCTTGCCCATTTTGTTGATCGTCGTACCTAAAGTAAGAGAAAACCGGCGGTAAGTTGTTGTGTTTCCACTTGGGTAACAACGCGATAACTGTCACAAATTTCAAACAGCGGTAACTTTCAGTTGAATTCTAGCCGCGGTAATCAGTTGAACACTGGCGGTAACGTGCCTCGTACTGTTCAGTACGGACACGCACGGCGGTTACTGTCTTTGGGTACTCGCGATCTCGACCTGTCCTCACGAGAGAATGATCTTTCCCTGGCCAATTTCGCTAGTGTACCCACGGGACGTCTCGGTTGAACCTCTCTTGCGGCCCCGATCGTGGATGGTCCACGACCACGTCTCCCCCTCCTAGGAAAACTGGACATAGGTCCATCCTCCCGAGAGCGAGGAAAGGTGGTGGAGGCACCCATTCCAGTACCCAGAGCCGAAGCTGGTTGCAAAACCTGAGAGGCCTGCTCAGTCGGAGTAGGCATTTGAGGTGAGGAGCGCACGTACTCTACTGCTTGCGCTGACACTTTGTCGACAAATTGCTTTGCCTTCGTGTGATCAAGCGCTGGCGAGTAGTTGTCTCGCCACCACTGAGACTGTACGAAATGCGCTTCTGTTGCGGGAAGATTGGCTGGAGGGGCCTGCTGAATATCCAAAATGAACAAACGAGCTTCGGCCTCACCCCCTAACAAATCAGCAATAAATTGGAGCTGCGCCGTCTCTATCGCACGTAGGTATCGTGTGAGGAACGCAGCCAACCCTGAAGCCCTTGTTAATAAGAATATTATGCGTGCGATAGGAACGCTGCATTTCTCCAGTGCTCTTTGCAGGAGCACGCGGTAATCTTGGTCTGCAAAGCACAGTATAGTTTCTTTCTGAAAGACATAACTGTGCACAGACATTGCGGTAAAGGTGTCATCAGTATATGAAACTGTATTGACTTGATAAACAGTCGCGGTAATACTTGGAGAATAAGCTTGGCCTGAAATGACTGGACCAAAGCGCGTGGATACGAGAGTGAGCCCTGAGGGGAGCTTACGAGGTTTCAGTGGATCGATGATGCTCCAATAGTAATCGATTCCGACCAGAATGTCCACATCGACTTCCTCATCTCGGTTCGAAAACTGCAGAGCTGTTGAATCAATCCCTTGATAAGGCTCGGAGCTTTCCTGCAGAAGATTGGGTTTTCAAGCTCACTGAAGTAATGACTCGACGTGTTCTCAGCCGAAGACGCACTGGTGTATCGGACTGATCACGGAGTACGATAGAGACAATGGATGACATCTCTGTGGCGATATGTCCTCCAAAGCCGCGAGTGGTTATCGGACATGGTTCACTTAAGTGAAGTCCAAGCCGTTTTGCGGTATCTTCCTTGATGAAACTATGCTCTGATCCGCTATCAAGCAGCATCACAAGAGTTTCATCAGAGCGGGTAATATTGTTTCTGGATCGTGAAGTAACGATCATAAGGCGCGGATCGGAAGAAAGTGGAGCTGAATGATTCACAGATGTAGAAAAGGTGGTATTGATTTTAGCTCCGCTGTCTTCGGATTCACTAGCCACTAGATCGTCCTTAGGATCAGAACGCCTTGCGATAGAAACTTCTCGACGAGAGTTCCTCGATGAAGATCGATTTCTCGAGATTCGAGAGGATACTTCGCGAGAGGTATTGCGTGAATTTGCTGACGGAGAACGAGATTGTCGTCGATATACAGTCGGAGAACCACTTGCCGATCCGCCTGGCATCGGAGTAGGACGTCTAGCGCGAACACTCCGTGTCACTTCGTGACTGTCCCCAAGATTCTGGCCAGAGGCTCCTTTCCTTCGGCACAGTGTCTCATGGTGACCACGTCCACAAATTGAGCACGGCGGTGCATCGCAACCAGCAGCCACATGTCCCCTAGCAAAACATTTCCGGCAAAGGTTCTCGTCGATAACGACTTCCATTCTCGCTTCCCGAGAAACAACTAAGTGACAAGATGCGGTAAGATGACTCTCACGCCTGCAGAATGCACATTGCATTTTGCGGTGGGCAGAATCTGCGCGATTGTTGTGGGACGAGTCCCTGCATGGAGATCGTCCACGAAGCAAATCTCCCGAAGAGGAGCGTTGACGTGTCGACCTCCGCACGGGGGCTTGCCCTTGGACTGGAAGGGTCTGATATGAGATAGACCTCAATCCCATCGTATCGGCGATTGTTTCGAACGTTCTTATGGCACGATCCAAGCCAGCAAGCAGCTGCGGAACCTTCCACGGGGTCGGGTCCGCAGTCTCCAAGCTGCCTAGATGTTCCAATGTTCGAGGCGGAAATTTCTCACGGATCAGACACATGACAAAGATATTGTCCTCATGGTCCCCAAGCTTTACAAGCTGAGTCCACAGGGATTTTATCTGAGCAAGTATTGTCCGTTGGTGCAGAGGAGATGTGCCCGCAGGCTTCATATCCTTGAGCCTATGGCTCAGTTGCACCCGAATCAGTTGAGGGCGGTAATACGTTTCACGTAGCGTGGTCACGGCGCATTCGTAATTCGCAGCTGTAATATCGTACCCTGCCACAATCGCTTGCGCGTCTCCCCCGAGGAGGCTTTTGAGATGGTGAAACTTAGCGACAGGCGATATGTAAGGGTTCGAATGTATCGCTGAATTGAATGCGTCCCAGAATTCCGGAAATTTTTCAATTTCTCCTACAAATGTAGGCAAGGTGAATTCTGGCAAGCGGAAATCAAGCGGTAAAGGAGCACGACGGGTGAAAACCCGGAGTTGCTCGCGGTAAAGTCTCGCGACGTTCCGATGGAACTTCTTCCTCAGAACGTGCTTGACGGGGCGGTAAACTGTGATCAGATTCCACAACTGTTTCACGAGGACGACGGTCCTCATGTCGAGTTCCGGTGTCTGTCAACGCTGGAGTATCCTGCAACATCCTGCTCGACGAGAGTCGTACAGGTGTCGCAGTTCTAGGCATTTCTGCCTGCGGTAATTGTAGCGGTAATGGGTTGAGCAGCAGTTGGACGGCATTGTCGAAATGACAAAGAAGATCTTCCGCCGCTCCCATCGCTTGGCGTGCCCCATGGTTGACCCAATGGAGGCGAACCTCGCGGTAGAGCTCACTGCGGTGATCCTCCTCCTCACATCGAACAATAGCCTGCAACGCCGACTCCCAATGACCTTTCGCGTTGTGCAGTGCACGCGAAAGTTTAGTTCGCATAAAGCCGAGACGACGTAGCCTTGCTTGTATACTGGATCGTGTCGAAGCCTCAACTTGTTCTTCGTCCTTAGGAACGTCGTCGTTGAGTTGTTGTTCGGCTTGCTTGATCGTCTCCTGAAGGTCGTCGATAGTTTGCAGCATCTCCTGCTTGAGAATATTGAAGTCCATCGCAATCGCCATAACGATTCGAATGAACTGGATGACTGCGATATTGACTATATAGCGGAAAGGGGTGGAGCGTGGGAATTTCTCACGACGCCGACCATGTTCTCGCCGAGCGCGAATGACGTAATCGACGGCGTGCGACTTTCCCATGATAGCGGTGACTTTCCCATGTCTGCGTCTCCAATTGTCATGCTCTCTCATGAGAACGGCTGGAAACGCTTGGGAAAAGGCCGATTTCCCAGCGAAATGATCGATAACGAGCCAGCAACGAATGCTAACACGAATATCGATTAAATCGAAGGGAAATAAGGCTAATTAAGCGGTAATTGAGCGATTGTCGAGCGGAAAAAATGGGAATCGATCGGAAATCGATCCCTAGACTGATAAAGCGGTAAGTCGATCGCGGTGATCGACGCGGTGATTTTAATCGAGATTCGACCGAAACGTGTGTATCGATCGGAAATCGGTTAAAAGCGGTAAAGCGATGGATATCGCGCGATAAACACGTGGATACTAGGAAAGAAAAATGTGAAAGGAAAGAAATAAATAAACTACATATGATAAGCCGCCTAAACCCATAAAGGAGCCTAAGAACCTTACCAAACAAACCGAAAAGCTGGAACTACCTTATAACCTTGAAAAACTTTAGAACCCTATTAAATTGAGAAGAACCCCGTAAAATATATTACCAGGGACTTGGAGCGACATGGCTAGAAAGGTGACCATTGGTTACTTTGACGGGTAATAGCCTTAAAAGGGGCAGTACCGCGAGATACAGGGTAAGCCAGAACCTTATGAACCGCTCGTGGACCAGTGCGTCAGGTGAGGTTGCAACTACACCCAGGTTGCCCTACTTCCCGCAGAGCTGAACTGTCCCTCCCCCCTGGAGGGACACCTCACTGGGGTCATCTGCCCCAGGAAGCACCCCGAGGGTAGGCTGACCCTTCAGCCCACCCTGTCCTGGCCGCCATCTCCCGATGCCTTTCCAGGACATTAACCAGTGGTTCACCCAGGTTGTAGTGCTCCCTTGCCCGTGTAGAACAGCGTGGAAGGGAACCCATGGACAGGGGCAATAAGCGGCAGGTTGCCACAGTCCTGCGACTTAGGCCCCATGAACCCTTACCGACGTGCTAGACCCCGGTTTGATGCACTGGCCCAGAAGCGATCGGCAATTGCCTAACCGATAGGACGACTCGAGGCGATTAGGGCGGGGAAACTCGAGTGTACCTAAATTTCTGGCTTAACCTGGACTGTGAGACAGGGCTAAAAGGGGCCCTAATGGTGGTTATAGCGTCCACGACCCTGTCCGGAACAGGTGGGTACGAATCGCGCGGCCGATTGCACCAGTGTCGCAGTTCAGAGAGAGACCGCCCTACTAGTCCTCTCCCACGACGAGCATCAGTGTATCGAAATCCGCTCACCCACCATTAGCCCACCTCAGTCTCACAGTTCCCCGGAGACTATACCGCTTTCCCGCACGGTATAGCCACCGTTCCCCGGGGGACCACCCGGGCTTAAGCCCGCGGCAGGCTGCAGGGGACGGCAGCCCATGCACAGGCATGTCCCCGTGGTGGGTCCGACCTCCCCCAAGTCCGTCCTGGACCCCCGGGTCAGCCGGCCCCTACCACTGTTACAGCCTGCCGTAACCGGTCCAGTTACATGCCTACCTGGCTCACCTGGCCCTGAGGCATGCAACAGCCGAATAACAGAAACATAACAACCAACAACCTGTACCTACAACCGACCAGCCCCTTGCGGACCCATCTGCCCGGTCGCTCCCAAGTCCCACCTATTACAAACTACAAGATAAATAAACTTCATATTTATTGACTTACGTGTCTGCGGTAACCATCTTCCTACAATCCTTACATCCTGCCGTGGTTGGATTGACCATCCATCTTCCATCTGTCCAGCGGTAATCCTAGCGGTAATGGCGCTCTGCGGCTACAAGCTGCAACCCGCAGCCGGCCGTGCCTTCGGGTCATAGCAGGCACGGGCCTGAGCCAGAGCTCCGCCAGACGGAGCAGTGTGCCCGACCACACTGCTGTACAGAGTGCAAGCACCCTGCAGAACCGTCCGGCATCATGGCGGCAGAGCGGGTGCCCGGTGGATCTCTCCTCCCGGAGGGAGAGAAGCACACCGACTGGCTCGCAGCAGCCCTTATAAGGGCTCCACTGGGGGCGGGGCGGCGGCGCGGCCTTCGGCGGTCGCGTCGCGGCTTTGCCCGTGTAGCGCGCCAGAGCCCAGGCGCACGGGACCCCGGCCACGTTGTCGCGAACCGCGACAGCTCCATCGACAGGTTAACGCCAGTTAAGAAAACTCTGAGCCCATCGCCGCGCGCGGCAAGCTGCGAATTGATTCTTGCTCGTCTATCGTCGGAATGTCTTAAAGGCAGTTGGCACGATAAATCGCTATACAGGTGTAGGATTTGTACAACTGGCTTAACAGAATTCCGTGACCTCGGACAGGCGCTGCGTGAAGCCTTTTCCAAGGAGGGTACCTCTATAACGCCCTATTGAGCAACAACTTTACGTCCCAAACGCCTTCCTTGCCCGCCCGCCCACAAACGGACGACCGTTTCTGACGCTCGTATTCATTCATTTGCTGAGCAAATTATGAAGCAAAGGGATTGGTATGAAGCGGCCGTGATGCTGCATGCATATATGGGTACACATATGCAGCCGTACCTTCGGTAGCGGTGATTGGCAAGATGCGTACGGGAAACTCGTCCGAAATCGATTTACAAGTCACTGAGAACGGAGGCTTTTTCTTCGCCGGATTTTGACCGTTTCACTCCGTTCTTTCGCCATTTCCCCACTATACAGCGCCCTACTAGCATTTTAGGCTAAGTAGGAAACCATCGTGCCAACTGCCTTTAAGTTTCAGTACTGGAAGGAATCTATTTGGGAATGCCTCGGTGGCCAGTGAATAGAACTTTGGCGCAGCCGTTGAGTTGCTTAGAATGCCGCGAACACGATTACGACGAGGTAGCTTTGATGGGAACCTGCCACATGTATGAAAATTAGAAGCTGTTTTCATGATATGCTACCTGCAGATTGAACGCGAGTTTAAAGGCAGTGCTCAGATTGGTGTGGACGGGCAGTTGTCGCCAGCGTCTTTGGTGGAAAGGCTGAGTGGGGTGTGCCCTTCCGCAGCCCTTCCACCAATGACACTAGCAACAACCGAATGCCTCCTGTAATCGTGCCCACTGCTTTGTTTTTTCTTGGGGGGCACAATGTTTTTTTTCTTGGGGGGGGGGCACAGTTTGACCCTGTTTTTTTTCACGACCTACTCTTGAAGTTTGGATCAAAACCCCTGTTTGGCTGGAGGCTAGGTTGTCCAGATAGTCTTTACCTTTCGAGTCAGAGCGTCACATTTGCTTGGTGCAAGGCGCCTCGTGCCTGCGCCAGAACTCCTCAGATCACCGAAATTGCTGAATTTCCTCGACTCTTTCTTTTTTAGCAAAGAGTTTCCGAACATTCATCATACAACAGTACTTCTAATACTTTGTGAACTGTTTTCAGATGTGATCCCTGAAAGTGGAATGGTAGCCGCTGCTGATATGGAAGTAATGGATGTTCCAGATGACGCTGAAGGGGACGAAGACATTGAAGTCCTCGAAGAGGGACAGGAAGACTCGGTACAACATGTATGTTGTGATATGTGGTGTGCAGATAGGAAGGCTGCCTCGGAACACAGTCCTAGAGAGAAATTTTTCAGAGGGGGTTATATGAAGGTGTAAAAGGGAGAAGGAGGCATTTCTAGGAGATGTTGTGCGGTTGAGGGGAAGCTGCATGGAAATGAGTTAATTCCGAGCTAATCGAAAGCAGAGGTGGTTACTTACCGGTGATGGGAAGAAGTGGGTAAGGCTGACCCTTGGAAGCATGGTCGTAGATGCTGTATGCTCATATAAGTGTTCGTTGTGCACTAGAAGTGCAGTCAAGATCACTGCAAGCGATAGGCTACACGACGCCGCGCGGATTGCGGCGCGGTCAGGGCATCCCTTTTTCAGTGTGCTATCCTGAACCCGATACAGCTGATAGGAAATCTGATCTGGCTCCGCTCCAAGTCGTGACCCTCCCCTCCCCCCTTCGTCACAAGGGCTCGTGTACCAGTGGTTGCACCGGAAATAATGTGCGCCCAGACGCGGATCGGGGGATCCATGTAGAGGCAGCGTTGCGATTACAGCGTTGCAAGTGGTGTCATTCGCGCGGCATTCACACCAGGACCTACTTTATTCAGCGCGAGGATGCTACATGTAGAGTCATCTACTGTAGGTAGGAAACTCCGCCGCTTTTGTTTTCTGGATGTCGTAGCACCTAGAACAAACCTGAACAAGATTTCAACCGAGCCCTAGCTGTTCTCCCTCCCTTCAATACGTTTTCTAAGAGCTCTTTTTTGATAATCCACTTTTTTCAACATATGCCTTCTTGAGAGAATAGTAGCTTTACTCTAGTCATCCGGTTCCCTTCCTCTTGGAAATTAGCAATATTTTACTATTTTTGAGGGTTTGGGGAATAAGTTTGACTCTTTTTCCAAGTGTTACCATGCAAGTTTTCTGGGAATTTGGTTTCAATTATCCCTTCTTGATCCACATAAGTAAAATCTTTAGTTGCAGATTGAGCTTTTATCTGATGAAGACGTATCCGAGCAGTCGATGGACGATTTTGATGAGGATGAAGGTTGGTGGGGCTTTGTTGAGGAATTCAACAGGCTAACTCAATTTTCATACACTTAAATTTTTTCGATACTGAATCGGCAAGCGGTGTTGCAGATG